GGCACTTAGCCACCACCACCACCACAACAACAACAACAAATATACGTCTTTTTCTGGTGTGGTGCTTTAGGATAAGCACTGAACTTGGAACCACAAAGTTAGTGGTTCAGTACTTCAAACCCACCAGCTGCTTCTTGGAAATCCTATACAGAGTCACTATGAGTCAGAACCAACTTGACAGCACTTAACAACAACAAGAACATACAGCAATCAAAGGAGCCCTGGGTTAAGCACTGAACTGCTAATCTCATCTCGATTGTACAGACAGAAACAACAGTACATCAGTCGGGGTGATGTGTGTAAAAGTCCTGTATGACCATGACTCCTCATTACTTAAAAGAACAAATGTCAAATATCTTAGCAATACACTCTATATAATCTTTATGATTTGACTTCTCCTTATTCTTTCAGCCTCTTCTCTTTCTTACTATGTGATTTGCTTAAGGAGTCTGAGTAGTACAGTGGGTAAGTGCTGAGCTGCTAACTGAAAGGTTGGTGGTTCAAACCCATCAGCTGCTCCACAGACTGCTTCTGTAAAGGTTTACAGCCTTGAACCCTTGTAAGATAGTTCAACTTGACAGCAATGGGTTTGGTTTTCGTTGTATGCGTTTGTTGGCCTGTCTCTTTGCCCATAGCACACTTTTTCTTGTCTGTAATCTTGGCCAGCTTCTCATCAGGTTAAGTCTCAGCAACTCTTCTTTTAGGAGAGCTTCTTAACAAATTTATTTTCTTTGATCCAGTTAATACCATGTAAGTACTTCTAGGACAGACCCTATAATTTGCATTATAATGATGTGTTTAAATGTGCTTTCCCACTGAACTCAGCTCCTTGAGATCAAGGACTAGATTCATTCATTAACTCAGTGTTTATTGAGTACCACTATATATTCCCATGCCTTCCTAGGTGCTGGAGAATAATGAGGACTAAATAGACACAGTCCCTGTCCTTGTGGAATTCATTTTCTAATAGGAAGGGCAGAAATGAAAAGGAAATGGCAAATAAATATTTAAGTACAAACTGTCAAAAGTCCTTACAAGCAAAAATAGAGCACTCAGCCACTGAAAGAAAAGTGTGTGATTCAAACCCCGTATTTGTTCCACAAGAGGAAAGACCCTGGTGGTCTTCTCCCATAAAGATTACAGCTTAGGCCACGGGGGCAGTTTTACTGTTATATTGGGTTACTATGTTTGATTCTGAGTGTTTAGCCCAATGTTTCACTTAGAAGATACACTTGGCTTTGTTTATTAAAATGAAAGAATGAATTTATGATTCATGAGACTTCATCTTTTTTCTTAGGTTCTGATTCAGCAGTTAAAGCAGCTGGAATCTGAACACAGTACTTTAAAGACAACTCTGGAAACAGAAAGACAAGCATGCAAGATTCTGATGGAAAAGATGGAACTTGAAGTAGCAGAGAGAAAATTATCCTTCCATAACTTACAGGAAGAAATGAATCATCTTTTAGAAGAGCTTGAGCAAGCAGGCCAAGCTCAGGCTGAACAGGAGTCACAATACAGAGCCTTGGAGCAAAAACACAACACAGAAATGGGAGAGAAGACTGCTCTCATTTTGAGTCTTCAGAAGACGGAACAAGAATTGCTGTCTTCCTGCGATGCCCTCAAGAATCAAAATGCAAAGCTCTTCCAAGAGAAGAGTGAACAATCAGTTCAGTCAGCGCAGGCAATTCAACATCTGGAAGGTCAGTATTTGTCTTTCAAACCTACATCTATAGCACCTAAGTGGCTCCTACTTCATATTTTCAGGCATTTTGTTTATGACTTTATCGTTTTTCTCAAACCAACTGAATCAAAAGAAAGATTAAGAAGAGCATCTTCCCACTTTGTTGCATTTGTTTTGCCTCTGACTCAAGTTGAAATCTGACTTGATACTGGGATTATTATTACAGTACTAGAGAGTATTGATAGTGATGTGCTAGGTATTACATAGAATGCTGTGTGACACTTCACTCTGGCATGAAAGGTTCAGTGACAGACATGAATAGTAGAATTTGATTTTGTTTGTGGAGAACTCAGGCCAGATCTAGACACTTAGATTGGGAGACCTGAATTATTACTTGGAGCTATCCTTAGATCTGTAGTCCTCATGAGACACTGTAGGACAATCACTGGACTGCTAACAACAAGGTCAGAGCTTCATACCCACCAGGTGCTTCTTGGAAACCCTATACAGGGTCGCTATGAGTCAGAATTGACTCAGACGATACTTAACAACAACAATAGTCCATACATAGATCTAAAGATGGATCTGAATGCTTTTTGTATAGGAATTTCTTTTTAAAGAAAACTTTTATTATTTAAGAAGATTTAAAGAAAACTTATTTAAATGTGTTACCATAAAAGCAATACATACTCTAACAAGTTACACATTTTACAAGTTTGCAAATTAAAAAATCAAACTTTCTCATTACCGGCGTTCCTAAACTCTTTTTCATCAAATGATAACCTTATTAATAAATTGATACATATTTAAAGGAAATATTTAAAAATAATTAAGTTAGAGATTTATATTGAAGAAGTCAACATTAACCAGAAAGCCTTGAGGGGCATTACACAGGAACAGAGTGTTGAGCACACTGTTCTCTTAACAACTGGACCATGTTCATTTCAAAGCTCTGCAATGGCATTTTGGAGAAATCCATAAAACTTAAATGGAGAGTGAGGAAAGGAAAACAAAAATGACAAACTCATATTCAGGGGAGAAAGGAAAAATAACTAAAATAATGCCTTGGCCTATTTTACGGTCCTTTTGAAGGAAGTTGGTTACTGGGGTGCCCTTTGGTGCAGGAGTAGTTTATTGAGGTACCCTTTGGTTCTTGACAGCATTTAAACTGTTGAAATAAAAATGTTATTGCATGATAATTTTTCAGTAGGGTAATTGGACCTAGAGTAAATAATGTGTGCTGTATCCCTACAAGATGATAACTCACTGAGTTTCAAACTAGGAACAGAGATCATTTAACTTTATTTCCTTTTCCTTAGATCAACTTCATGAAAAATCCCAAGAAATTAGCCAAATTTTAACTCTGTCAACTGTGCAAAAACATGAAACGGCATCTCAGACTATTGTCCCGGATGTTTGTAATGAAGGCATACAGGTAATCCAATGTGAACTTCTTATGGATCTCATCTGTTTGTCTTGCTCTATCTGTACTTGGGTTTTCTAGTGAGGATTTATTCCAGAAAGCAGTAGAAGTCTTCTGTTTTTCTTGCTTGATAAATAGATTTTTGGATGAAATTCCATTTGAAAATAATTATGGAGTACTTTAATGTAGTGTTTCAGCATTTAATAATGAGAAAATAGATTGAAGGTACTTCAAAGAATTCATGGAAAAAATGGAATGAAAAAGAATGGATTGTTCCACTAACTTTTTGAAGTCCCCTTGTAGATAAGCACCACGATCTTGGGAACATTTCTTATTTTAAATGCTTTAGAGGTATATTATTACTTTTAATATCAATTTTTCAGTTCAGAAGACAGTTTTGTTTTTGGTAGATTCAGATTTGATCAGGCTTAGTATACACAATTCCATCTAACTAAACACATAAATTTGTTAAGGAAATCATAGTGCTTCCATAAATTAATTAGCAGTAAAAAATTTGATTGCCCAAGTGGCTGTTTTGCTCTACAAAATTTTCTGTGGGAAATTAAATTATAATCACTCGTAAGCTTCTTTAGTATGTATGAATATAAGAACAAGAGAAGTTAATTTGATGATCTTAATTGGCTGGTTTCAGTCTATGATACTGGGGTACATTCGTCTTCATTATGAGTATAGTTTTCTAAATTGACAGACATATTGGCTTGCAGAGTCTCGTGCTAGACACTGAATTAAATCCGTTTCTCTTTTTCACTTCCTGGTTTCAGGATCTGTGCTTACCAATTTCGTCTGTTCTCTCATCATCAATTCATTGACGTTTAATGTGATTTTGATCTATTTAGCGTTCCACCTCTTTGTTGTTGTTGTTAGGTGCTGTTGAGTTGGTTCTGACTCTTAGTGACCCTGTGTACAACAGAATGAAACACTGCTGGGTCCTGCACCATCTTCACAACTGTGGCTGTGTTTGAACCCATTTTTGTAGTCATGTTGTCAATCCAAATCATTTTTGCTGACCTTTTACTTTACAAAGCATGATGTCCTTCTTGAGGGACTGGTCCCTCCTCATAACATATCCAAGGAACAAGAAGTAGTCACACACTTCATGGAAAAATTCCATTATATTTTCATGCCATTTTCCCCCCAAACGTTTTTAAAGATCCCTCATAGGAGATGAAATCTTGCTGTCCTCACTTCTAAGGAGCATTCTGACTCTACTTCTTCCAAGACAGATAGTTTGTTTTCCTGGCATCCCATAGTACATTCAAAAGTCTTCACCAATACCATAATTCAAAGGTATCAATAATTCTGTTTTCTTTACCCATTGTCATTTTCTCATGCTTATGAGGCAATTGGCTTGAGTCAAGTGAACCATGGTCTTCAAAGTGATATCTTTGTTTTTTAATTTAACATTTCTTTTGCAGCAGATTTGCCTAATGCAGTATGTTGTTTGATTTCTTTACTGCTGCTTTTATGTGTGTTGATAGTGGAATCAGGTAAAATGACATACTTGGCAACTTCAATCTTTCCTCTGTTTCTTATAATGTTACTTATTAGTCCAGTTGTGAGGATTTTTGTTTTCTTGCTGTTGAGATGTAATCTATGCTTTGATTTTTATCAGTAGATGCTTTAAGTCCTCTACAATTTCAGCAAGCAAAGTTGTGTCATCTGCATACTGTATGTTATTAATGAGTGTCCAATCCTGATGCCACGTTCTTCATGTAGTCTAGCTACTTAGGTTGTTTGCTTAGTATACAGATTGAATAAATATGGTGAAAGGATACTGGTCTCACACACTTTCCCTGATTTTAAACCACAAAACCCTGTACAGGGTGGCTATGGGTCGGAACCGACTCAACAGCACATAACAACAACAACAACAACAGTTATTGTTAAATGCCATCAAGTCGGTTCCTATTCATAGTGACCCTAAATAGGATTTCTGAGGAGTGGCTGGTGAACTTGAAACGCTGACCATATAGTTCAAAGTGACCTCGCGGTCTAGCCCATTAGCCCACAGCGCCACACTAGGGCTAATTAAACCACATAGATCACCTTTTTCTTTTTTTTCCCCTGAAGTAACTGCCTCTTGGCATATGTATAGGTTCTGCTTGAATACAATTTAATATTCTTCACAATGTTATCCATCATTTGTAATGAACCACATAGTCAGATACCTTTGCATAGTCAACAAAACACAGGTAAACATCTTTATAGTGTTTTCTGCTTTCAGCCAAGATTCATCTTATATCAGCAATGCTACCCTTGGTTCCATATCCTCTTCTAAATCTGGCTTGATTTTCTCACAGTTCCTTGTTGATGTACTGATACAAATGCTTTTAAATTATCTTTAGCAAAACTTAACTCACATATGGTATTAAGGAGACTGATGGGTCACCTTTGTTTGGAATGGGCACAAATATGGACCTCTTCTAGTTGGTTGGCTAGGCACCTAGGTTCTAAATATCTTGGCATAGACCACTGAGTATTTCTAGTGTTGCATCTGTTTGTTGAAACAACTGGTATTCCATCAGTTGCTGGAGCCTTGTTTTTCACCGGTACCTTCAGTGAAGCTTGGACTTCTTCCTTCAGTACCATTGGTTCTTGATGACATGTTGCCTCCTGAAATGGTCGAACATCAACCTATTATTTTTGGCACTGTGACTCTGTATTTCTCATTTCTTCTATGGAATCTTTTAATATTGCGCTCTGTATTTCTCATTTCTTCTATGGAATCTTTTAATATTGCGCTCTGTGTTTCTCATTTCTTCTATGGAATCTTTTAATATTGCAACTCAAAGTTTGAATTTTTTCTTGAGATTTTGTCAGCTTGAGAAATGCCAAGTGTGTTGTGTCCTTTTTAGTTTCCTCACTCCAGGTCTTTGCATATTTCATTATAACACTTTACTTTTTCTTTTCAAGCTGTACTTTGAAATCTTCTGCTCAGTGTTTAAGTGCAGGCTTCAGGATCTCTTTTGATGTTCATTTTGTGCCTTTCTTTTATTCCTGTCTTTTTAGTTAAGTTTTGCTTTCTTCTTTTATATCTTAATTTTGTATCAAATCCTTACTATTGTAAAAGCTTTATTTCCAAGACTTTGGATTCTGTTATATTATTTTGAAGAGTTTGCTTAGTTTTTATCAGCCAATAACTTTTTTGATTCACAAAACAAATGCTGGAATTATTGGTGGGCAGCCACTCAATTCAGTTTAGTTATTTTTACCTTAACAGGATGGCTTAGAGTTGCATGCAAATAAATATAGTTCATCATTGAGCAGGAGATTTGGGCTGAGTTTATAGAACTTGGGGCTTCTCTCTCTGACACTCTCTATGGTTCTTCCTTTCACATTCTGACAAATTCTTATCCTGTTATTCTTCAAGTCAGAAAAACCTGGGACTTCTCTATCAGACTTTTATTTGTTCTGTGTAGTACAGGGAGGCTAAGTGGTGCGATGGTTAAAGGTTTTGGCTGCTAATCAAAATGTCAGTAGTTCAAACCTACCAGCAGTCTTTGACAGGTAAAAGATGAGGTGGTCTTCTTTCCTAAGATTACAGTCCTGGAAACACTTTGGAGAGCTATTCAACTTTGTCTTGAAGGGTCGCTATGAGTCACCATCAACTCCACAACAATGGGTTCAGTAATTTTTAGTTGTACTGCAAATTGGGAACATTCTTCAGGGTCAAAACTGTAAAACCCTAAATTCACCACTTGGTATTTCTTTCAAGATCATATGAAGTGCCAAGTGTGCTATACGAAGATTGTTGTGGCTCAAAAAATCAATATTTTTATTGAAAATTGTATAGCATTATCCCTTAGCAGAAGGAAAATATATAAGAATACATAAAACTAAAGATAAAGCATAATTAGATCTTTAGCTGCCATTAGGGAAATCAGATTTTTGGATCCATGAATTAAATGCAAGATAACTATTATGATACTTGGTGGCTAGGATAGCACTGGACTGCTAACTCTAAGGTCAAGTGGTTCAGACCCCCCAGAAATCTTATATAGGGTTGCTGTAAGTTGGAATCGACTTGACGGCCCTTAACAACAACAAATGTATTATTTTTGTCTCTGCTCCTGTTTGAGAGTCCTTTCTTCGTGTTCATTGTCCTTCAAGAGAGAAACCTTATTACTCAGTGACATTAATCTAATCTTATGACATTGTGCACTTGAAACTGTTACTGTTTCTTATGGTCATCTTCCTTGGTAGATGTAGGGTCTCTATATTTGTCATGCGGGCTTCAGTATTCAATTTAAACCCCATTGCCTTGGGTTTGTGGTAAATACCTTACTTCACTTTTTACCTTCTGTAAACCATTACTTCAGATATTATCAAAGCAGATTCAGTTGATGCTATTTTTAAAGCATTTTCATGGTTGGAGATCTCTTAGAAGCTGGAAGCTATCTAGGCATTAATATGAGAGCTGTACATTGGAAAATTATTAATTTGTTGTCTTTCTACAATTTAGGCGTTCACTGAGGAGACTGTTGCCTCTCTTCAGAAGAGAGTGGTAGAACTTGAGAATGAAAAAGGCGCATTTCACCTTAGCCCTAGAGAGGTAGAGGAACTGAAAGAGGAGAATGGTATGTATCAATGAAAGCCATAATTCCCTGTTTTCTTGTTTCACAGAGTTGCCATGATTTTTATCAATGTGCATGTATAACATGTTAGCTCCTCTGATAAAAGCTACCTTAGAAAGCAGAGCCAGTAGTTCTACAAAGTAAGATTAATTGACATTAAACAAATTAGACCACATACCAGTTATTATGTTTAACATTTTGTAATATTGGCTGTAACTGCTGAGGATTTCTTTATTACATTTGTTTTGGAGTGATCAAGTTATCTTCTAGGAAGTGTAACTTGAATAGGACATAAAAAGGTGACATTTTTTATAGACAAAATGAAGAAAGGACATTTACAGCAATTAATTTTATAGGCTAAGGTAACAGAGGTTAGTATAAATAAAGGTTTAAAGGTAGGAACCAGTTTTGGTTTTGCTAATGCTATCCATTCCTTAGAATCCTATCCTTTTTCTACCTACTTAATTCTTACTTAACTTTCATGCCTTAACTAGTGTATTATTTTTCTTAGGAAATGATCCTGATGTCCAAATCTGGGTTAAATGCATCTTTGTACACCTTTAAAGGAGCTCTGGTAGCGTAGTGGTTACGTATCAGGCTGTGAGCCGCAGGTCAGCAGTTTGAAACTACCAGCTGTTCCATGGGAGAAATATGAGGTGTTCTGCTCCCGTAAAGATTTACAGCCTCGGAAACCCGGCACAGGGTCCCTATGAGTTGGAACCGACTCCATGGCACACAACAACAACAATGTTGTATTTAAATGATCTTTATATATGTTTGTGTTTTTACTATACTAAACAAACACTTCAAAGATAAGAGTAAACACTCTCTGAAGGCAGGGGTAGTTCTTTTTTTCTGTTTATAATCTTTGCTTTGGAGTCCTGGTGTGGTGCAGTGGATTAATGTGCTGAACTTGCAAAGTTAGTTTGAACTGCAAGATTGCCAGTTCAAGCTCACCAGCTGCTCCTCAAAAACCCTATACAGGGTCACTGTGGGTCAGACCTGACTCGACGTCACTTAACGGCAACAACAACAATCTTTCATTTACTAAGAATGAATTTAGTACCTGGTAAATAGTAGCTGCTGATTAAAGTTTTGTTGGACTAAAATGTTTCCATCTTTTATTCTCTTGGACTGTGTGTGAGTAGTCAGTAGGAATGGAGTGAGAGCTCCTTTTGTTTATCACCTGCTACACAGGACTTCCTGAACTTAGTTGTTGTTAAGAGCTGTTGAGTCAATTCCACCTCATAGCAACCCTGTATAATGTTTCCAAGGAGTGGTAGGTGGTTTGAACTGCTGTCCTTGAAGTGAGAGTCTAGTGCTTACCCTACAGCACCACTCTAGGACTTACTTGTTGTTGTTAGATGCCATCGAGTCAGTACTAACTCATAGAGACTCTATGCAAGACAGAACGTAACACTGCCCAGTTCTGGGCATATACAATAATGTTTTATTTTTCAAACACTTCATATATATGACTTAAAGAAATTTATTTTGTGATTTTCAGAAAAACTGTCTTCCCAGATTACTCTCATGGAGGCTCAAAATAAAACTGGAGAAGCAGATAGAGAAGTCAG